GTCTTGTACCCTCCCTTCCCTATTTTATGTAAGCCGCCCTGAGTACCCTCAGAGAAAAGGGCGGCCTATAAATATTAATAAAATCTCTAAAATCTCTAGATGAAGCCAAGTCCAAAAACCCTAGGGAATTTCTAGAAGCCTGGTGTCAGTTGGCCATCAACAGGCACACAGAGATAAACAATGTCTACACACCATTTAAAAGAGCAAAAAGCTCCAAAAGGAAACAAAAAGATCAAAACATCCTTGCCAGCAATCAATAGCCATATGAGCAGAGAGCAACCTCAAGGTTAACAGTAGATCGACCAACAAGCCATAATCAACACCCCAATCCAGGAGAATTACCAACTCAGAAAAACAATCCAACAATAAACAACAGCCTAATCAAGAAACCATCAAGATTGCTCCCACCAACACATGTATATAAAATGAAAGCAAACCCCACTTCTCTTCTAGCACTGATGATGTTACCTAGCTGGGTCATGAAATGTCTCCAAGAAAACCACCAAGCTCAGAGAGCATCGAGGACCTTACAGGTCAAGCCTGAACAACAAAGATAACTCCTTTATTGGTAAAAGAGAGTTGAGAGGTCATCTAGTCCAATGTTTCTTAACTTTGAAGATGTGTGGACTTCAACTCCCAGAATTCCCCAGCCAGGATATTGGTGTAGGGCAGGGATCGGCAACCTTAAACACTCAAAGAGCTACAAAGGTCCTAACCGGAAACCCTCCATTCAATTCTGGAGCTGACTGGAAGTCCGGTTCCCCCACCATAGAGTCTCCTCCTAGCATGGCGTCCTTTTTCCTCTGCTGACCGGAAGTCCACTTCCCCCACCATAGAGTCTCCTCCTAGCACGGCATCCTTTTTCCTCTACCTGTCCTAACCGAAAACCCTATCAATTGTGATGCCGACAGGTGACAGGGAGCCGCAGCAGAGGGATGAAAGAGCCACATGCGGCTCCAGAGCCGCAGGTTGCCGACTCCTGGTGTAGGGAAATATTTTGAGTGAAAAGTCTTCACAACTTGCCAACGTTGAGAGACACTGGTCTCGAGTCTATAAAGGGGCTAAACTGTGTGAATGAACACATGTATGCCACACCCAGAGAACATGATTACAAGCGAACGAAGGTTCTCGGTTCATACAATGTACAGACGCCTCAACTTCCGGTTTCGTGCCCGATGCAAATTCTAGAAAAGTTGGAAGTTAGCGAAGACTCTCATCAACCTGGTTAAGACTCGGGTGTCTGTGTTTTTAATTGCATCTTGCAATCTTAAATCAAGATGAGGAGTGATTAAAATCTCACACATCTGCCATCACCAGCTTGGAAAATCTACGGCTCTTAACTCTCAGCCCTTCCTACTCTATCTGCACTACGGGTATAATTACACAGACCTACCTGACAGGGAGAAGAAGAAATAATGTATACGAAATGTTTTTACATGCTAATTTTCTGCGTAATTGCTCTATATGCTGCTTTATAAATCCCAAGGATTTCTTCCCCCAGGAACCTGTGGATCTTGGGGGTATTCAGAAACACTTAAGATTTAGACATACCTACCCAGCACAAAGCAAGAAACCCAGAGATGGTGAGTTCTAGTCCCACCTTAGGCCTGAAAGACGGCTGGGTGACTTTGGGCCCATCACCAGGAGACGGTGAGTTCTAGTTCCACTTTGGGCCAATCGCCAGGAGACAGTGAGTTCTAGACCTGCCTAAGGTATGAGAGCCTGCTGGGTNTAGTAAGTTCAATCCCTCTGTCCTTAACAAAAATAAAAAGTACTTGGTGCTGACCACCAAGAGCATTTTGCTCTTATCAGGGATTTAAATGGAGTAGACTTTCTTTGTCCATTTATTGCTGATGTAAACTCAGTTCCCACATTGATAAGGATTTAGGGGACAGTTTTACAGGCAGCCATCTGAAAGGTTCATCCTTATCAGTGAACAGACCACCAGAATTACCTGATAGTTTACACAAAGACAATAAAAAAGAAAATGAGGACAGCTTCTTACAATATGTTGGTGATCTATTGCTGTACCCAGGATATTGTTCAATTGCTGAGCTTCTTGGAATTCCATCCTTTTTCATTTTAGTGCCTCTTGCTAAAGATACCTAGCCAGAATTGTGCTTGGAAAAAGAACAATTCCAGTATATTGGAGAGGCTAAGAGCCCGACATCTGCTTTCTGAGAATGATGGAATTTATTGTCAAGCAAACGTAAGTGACACAGCATTGGAGAAAGCTGTTGGTATGATAATCAATCATATGTAAGCAAGCGATCATGTGTAAGTTATCATCTTACTTACTTTGTCTTTGGGACAAAGTATGTAGCTACATAGGGCAGCAATATTTATTAAACCACTGAGGTTTCAGAAGAAGTTATAAAATTAGGAAAAATCTTAATAACAAAAAAATGTTGGCTATTATTTTAACTCAAAGTTTATAGACATGGAAAACAATCTTTCACATGAACCAGGAAGTAAAATAATTTGACAAAACTATATGTAACAGGTCTGTCTAAAGCTTTATCAACACTTATTACAATGTATTTTACATAAAGAAAAAATAATTCAGGCCTCCCAAATCTTTACAGACTTGTCCACACATTTATTTTTCAAATCACTGTTTCTCAATTGGTTTGATTCATATCTATGACTAACACAAGAAAAAATACAAGCAGTCGTTTTACTTTATTATATACCGCCCCTCAGGATACAATTTATTTAAACGCAAACAGAGTTTGAAAAGTAGATATATTCTTTCTTTTAATAAACCGATTCAATTTCTACTGCAAATGTTCATTCCATTACGCTACCATTAAATCTTGTATTGACAATCTTAATTTCACTGGAGTGACTGATAGAAATAAATATTTTAAGAACATTTTAGCTATTAAATGCAGGTGCTTCTGGATAAAAGAGTATTATTGTTATTTTATAATAATATCTTCTTTATCAAGACTATATGCATACCACGGTGTAATTTTAATCAGCTAATGACCATAGAAGTATGAAATCTTTCTGGAGATGTTTTCCTGTCCATTGCCCAAGTGCAATTCTATAACAGTTTCCCACAAAGCAGTTCAAATTAGCTCAGATTAAATGTCCCTTGCTTTAATTCATTTCAATTAGTTAATGTCTTGAGACCATGAGTTGGATAGTGAAATATGTTTCTTTATGATAAACAAGACAGAAGGGAGATTCTTTCTTGGCACTTGGTTCATATCTACCTGCTTTTCTTATAGCAGAGTGTCAAATATTTCCTCAGGATATAAAAGGAAGCCGGAAAATATGCTGTCATCTTCAGCACTAACATAAACCCCATTCCAATCCCTTGTGACTTCTAGCCATACTTGGTCCCCTACATTTAACTTCAGAATGGTAAGGAAGGAAGCCTGGTCTATCTCTTGGCCATAGAGTGTCTCCCGACTTCTGATCATCTTCTTGTTCTGACAGACAATACTGATGCGGGCAGGACGTCCTCGTATCGTCATATGATAGGAGAAGACATAAGCCCCAGCAATGCTGCAATTAAATTTCCCTGTCAATGGATTATAGTGTTCCTGGTCATTGTACAGTATCTTGTCAAACTTAATAGGCAGGTTTGGGGGCGGGAAAGGTTTGGATAGGCCAACACTAAATGCTGATCTGGGGAGGGTTGGGGTCTCCCCTTTTGGACCTTTGGGGCCTCTTGCCCCTTTTTTACCAGGAGCTCCTCGGGTTCCTTTGAAACCGAGACTTCCTTTCACCCCTGGAGGCCCCATCAAACCAATTGGACCTTGGTCTCCTTTGTCACCCCTAATTCCAGGTCCCCCTTTTTCTCCCTTTTGCCCATCCTCCCCATGCCCACCTTCCACTCCTATGTCTCCTTTAATGCCCTTTTCTCCTTTGGGCCCAATGTCACCCTTCTCTCCTCTTTCTCCTTTTTCCCCTGGATCCCCCAAATAGCCCTTTTCGCCAATGTCCCCCTTTTCTCCTTTTTCCCCATTTTCCCCATCAACCCCTGGTAACCCCAGTTCTCCCATGTCTCCTTTCTCTCCTTTGGTGCCATTCTCACAATTTTCCCCCTTGGAGCCCTTTTGTCCTTTGACTCCAGGAAGGCCATGGTTTCCTTTATCTCCTTTAAATCCAACTTCTCCTAGAAGTATTAAAGACAGAAGGAAAAGGTTAGAAGGAAAAACATCAAGCAACAGTGGGCTCCAGTTCATGCATCAGCTCTAAATTGCCAGGTCCCTTATTCTTATAGAAATGGCATTTGCCCCTTCCCATCACCATAATGATTTGGTTTCTAGAGTCCGTCCCTTTCACAAAGCATGTAGAAGAAGAATATTATGTAGATATGGGCATGAGGCATGCAAGTATATAAGTATATCTGTGAAGAAATTATTGGTTGGAATAGGTGTGTGTTGGAGCCAGGTAGTCCTCCACTATGGGAAGGAGCCCAATGTCTTAATAATTGCCTGGAATACATTTAAATATGACATATTTCTGTGCAAATTTAAAGTGCACATGTCAGGCAAGCACCAGAATACAGAAAAGGCCTTTTTAAAGTAATTAATACATACCCAGCCCTATGAGAAAAATACTATCCACCCATCGTGTTGATAATAATAATAAGAGTGATAATGGATAATCTCATAATAATGGTACTTCATTAAAATATTCCAAAGGCATTTAGAGTTGAAGATAATAAAAGTAGGTTTCTTTCCAGTGGCTCTCAGCCAGCCATCATTATGCTGAAATAACTCTAATCAGAATATGCTATCTCAAAAAGCTGTTATAAGTCACTTTATGTGGAAATGGCTATGATAATCCATTTTAGAGGAGAGAGAAAGAGGGAGGGAGAGAGGGAGAGAGGGAGAGAGGGAGAGAGGGAGAGAGATTGACTAACCTAGGGCCACAAAGAAAGAGAACCTCATACCTCATAGATACTTTACTTCAGTGGTGGGTTATGACTGGTACGCCCCGGTACTGGCATACCGGGGCCTCCCAGGAGCACCAGGTACCATTCAAGTACGGTGGTCTGGAGGGCCTACCCACACACCCGCCATCCTTGCCTGTATTTGAGCTCTCCAGGGCTTCCGCGCGTACGCACGGAGCGTACAGCACCTGTGCAATGCTCCACCGAGCAGCTGGAGCATCGCAGAGGTATTGTGGAGCATCGCAGATGGTAAGTACACATGCACGTGCTGTGCATGTGTGCAAGCATGCTACATGCTTTCATGTGGTGGACCAGGATCCAGAACCCACCACTGTTTACTTCCTTGTTTTTGCTCAGATTTTAAGCAACATACCTGGGTCTCCGGGTCTGCCTGGATATCCTGGGGTGCCATTTGCTCCTTGATCACCATGTTCTCCTTTATCTCCTATGACATTGTTCCAAAATAATATATTAACTGTTAATGCACATTCACCATCTCAGTGTTGACATTTTTTAAAATAATTTCTCAAAGTCAAACCCAAAACAAAAGTTGAGTTCTTCTGAATGGGCCCCCTCAATGCTACCACTTCCTCCTCCTTATCATCCTCATCCTCATCTAGGAGGTACTACAAGAAAGCTCATATAGGTCTTTGTTTTGCAGAGATGGGACATTTTGGAAGTATACCTTCATTTTAATTTTCTGCTCTTGAAAAATAATCAAGAAATAATGGCTGCCAATTTGCTTCTGAATCCAATTCAAGGTATGGTTATCGCCTTTAAAGCTTTTGATGGCATGAGTCCATCACCCCAAAAGAGGACGTTCCTCTTTTGTTTCCTGTCAGAGGAGCCAAGGGTAGCTTTACTTTTAAGTCGACCCTGCTTCTTAGTTGTTCTTGTCTTCTGGCAGCTCTGTGCATGCGCGCACTGGGAACAGGCTCCAGCTGTTCTTCTGCTTCGGTGCTGTCTAACTCCCTCACTGCCTCTGATGCAGAGCCCTCATCTGAGCTTTCTTCAACCCCCAGGACTGGCCATGTTCCTCCCCAACCTCCCCATTGTCTGACTCTGCTACTAGCAACACTGGCCGCTGGTGGGCTACAACAGGTGGTTGTTTTAAAATTTTTAATATTGTTCTTACCTTTGTTTCCTTTGAATCCTTTTGATCCTTGTAATCCAGGAGTTCCTGGTACACCAGGACGGCCTTTTTCTCCTACTTCTCCTTTAAGTCCTATTTTTTTTAAAAAGGAAAGTACATTATTTGAAAATATTCATACGTCACAATGTCTTTAGTACTGTTGTTTAGTTTTGCTATTGTTAGGAATATAATCTAATGGTTGGGTTGGCAATATATAAATCATATAGCAATGTTGCACCTGTTTCTTTAAATTATACTGTAAAATGTGATTGGTGGCTGTTTTCCTCAATNGTTAAGACCTGGCTGTTCCAGCAGGCCTGGGGCTTCTGAGTTCCACCCCTACTCGAATTGTTCTGTGTGTTGTGACTTTTTAAATTGTTTTGTATTGTTGTTTGTTTTTGTTTTTTTACTTTTTGTATTGTGACCCTTCCCTTCTGGTTTGTCAGCCACCCTGAGTCCCTCCGGGAATAGGGCGGCATACAAGTCAAATAAACCAACCAAACCAACCAACCACCAAACACCTTGTCCCTATATCAGGGATGGGTTTCAAAAAAAAATATTACCTATTCTGTGGGTGTGGCCTTTTTGTGGGTGTGGCTTGGTGTTCATGTGACCAGGTGGGCATGGCCAACTTGTACAATGTGGTGAAACTCACTTAACAACACTCTTGCTTAGCAACCAAAATATTGGCTCAGAAACTCTGGCATGTGAAGTGTGCAAGTCTTAAAGCTGTCAAGTTACAAGACCCTTGCACTCCAACCCTTTACAAAAAGAACCCCCAAACCTAAACTTTATTTTTAAGCATTTTGCACCTGGAGAAAATCGGAACAAGGCACACAAGCCACACACCATTGACTTTGAAATCTTTCTTTCACGATGCCAAAGCCCCTCACTGCTCTTCACCTGCGTTTGCCCATTCAACCTCCTATCTGTGGAGAATGCACGGTGGTCCTCCTGGAGGGGCAGCCGAGGGGCACTTTCTCCCACCCCCTGAATAACATGTAGGCTGAGGAAAGTGAAAGGGGAGCTGCTCTTTTTTCCACAGGGCAGAAGGAGGTGAGGCAGACTTAGGAGCCATCTGAGGACAGCCCCCAAGAAGTGTTGCTTCTTGGCCTGAAACAAAGCAGCAGTGAGGAAGGAGTCTCTGGTGGTTGCTGCAGCAGCAGAAGTGGTGGTGGCGGCAGCTGAAACACAATCCCAGGTAGTCAGTTCCAGCTCTTCCTTCCGTGAGCATGTCCCATTGCTGCTGGCACTGCTTTTGATGAACCCAGCTCGGCAGCGATGGCAAGAAGCGGCTGCCAGCGATGCTCTCAGTGATGGCAAGAGCCCCACCACTGAGCCGGATTCATTTAACTATAATTTCTGTATATTAGAACATTACACATGCCTTCAGATGTTATTCCCTAGCTTGCACATAACTGTTATGTGGTGAAAATGTGGTGAAAATGTGGTGAAACTCACTTAACAATGCTCTTGCTTAGCAACCAAAATTTTGGGCTTAATTGTGGTCATAAGTCAAGGACTATCTCTGCCTTCTTCTGCATGGCAGCCTGATCCTACTAAACTCCTTCTCCTTTCTGGCAATTTTCCTCTCTGTTAGAGGCACCAAAATAATCCAGGTGATATAGGTTTCGTGCTGGAGCAGGGGGTTGGATTAGATGACCTCCGAAATCCCTTCCAGCCCTAGATTGCTCTACTATTCCAAAGCATCTTCTGAAGCCATGTCTAGTGCCAGAGTTAGCAGTCCTTCCTTTCTCCCTCCCTCCTTCCCTCTCTCTCTCTCTCCTCCCTCCCTTCCTCTTTCTTTCTTTCTTTCTTTCTCTTTCTTACTGTCTTTCTTTGTCTCTTTCTCTTTCTTTCTTTCTTTCTTGACTCTCTCTCTCTCTTTCTTCTTTTCTCTCATGTTTTAGGAATCACATCTAAAGGACCTCTAGAAGTCTTGTTCAAAACTGATTGTGCTCCATGACAAAAGCTTTAGCTCAGATTCGTTAACTTGACTATAAATGATCCCATTTAGATAATTTTGGGTTTTTTTAAGAATGTGGAAATGAGCAAAACAATATAGGAGAGAGAGAGAGAGAGAGAGAGAGAGAGAGAGAGAATAGTTTTTAGTTCTTAATATTTGAATGTATCTTCTTAATAAACATACTAGTAATAATGCATTAGAACATTTCCTTTCTCCCTGCCTCCCTTCCTTCCTAAACATTATTTGGGGCACATGCAATTATTTCTTCCTTCCTCCCTCCCTCCCACGCACCCACCCTTCCTCCCCTCTCATTCACATCTCCTTCCTTCCATCTCGTTTCCAGCTCCTTCCTTCCTTCCTCCCTCCCTCCCTCTTTAATCGGGGAGCTGGGGCTTTGGGGTCCCACATTCAGTTCCCCTAAAAACCTACCACTTGGCAGCGAGTGCAAACCCACTTCTCCCTTCCCGATCTACTGGATGCCAAAGCCCCAGAGATTCTCCTGTCGATTTGATGAAAGCAGCGGGGAAGAGTGGGAGAAGCAAGTGGAAGCAGTGGATGGACCCATGTGCATGTGTGCACACCTTTGGAGACAAATAATTGAAAAGCGATTCACGCCAAAGTTTTTAAAATTTCTCCCGACCACCCGAATACACGTGCGTGCATAAATACATATTCCTCCCTCCCTCTCTCTCTCCTCCCTCCCCCTCTCTCTCCTCCCTCCCTCTTTCTCTCATACTCCCCCCTACACAACACACACACACACACACATTAGGAGACCGCCCACTGCAGAATTAAGACCCCATTCAATTTAAAGCCAGACAGCATTCAGCCATTCATTCAATAGATAAGAGCAATCATAAGCAGGCTGTGCGATGGGCGTGCTCACTCTTTCTTGCTCTCCTCCCCTCTCATTCCCATCTCCTTCCTTCTATCCTTCCTTCCATTTCATTCCCAGCTCCCTCTCTCCCTCCTTTCTCCCCCCTCCCTTCTTCCTTCCTTCCTTCCTTGCCTTCACTCTCATTCCCTATTGTAGTATATTATTTCCCATTCAGCAAAAGATTTAATACTTTGGCTTTGAATAATCTTATTGTTACACTAAGGATTTTATGTTATAAATATTACAAGTAGTATTACAAGGCAGAAGGAAGGAAGCAAATGGGACTGATGCTCCAGACCAGAGGGCGGGTGGATGTCCCAGCAAGTTCCAAGTGGCAGGGTATTGCACCCCTCCTACCACCCTCTGCCCAGCCACATGACTGCAAAGCTTGCTGGGCTGCTGCCTCATCACCAAAATTGCAGTGACCAAGCAGCAGCAAGGGAACCATTTCAGGGGCATGGCAGGCCTGGGTTGCTGCCAGTTCTGCAACCCAGGCCTGAATTCCACTACCGGTTCAGCCAAACTGGCAGCAACCCACCTCGGGTATAAATGAATTATAAACCCTTATAGGTAACCTATTGATTCCATTAAGTTCACGCTGCCTGTTTATCATTTCAATGTGTTTGCTATTTGTACAGAAATACAAGCTGCAATAAATTTATTTCAATTTAGTGAGTTTTTAGTTTTTTAAAAAATAAAAAATGCAACATTCCAATTTTTATTTATGTTTTAATCTGGTATAATTTTTTTTCAGAATTTTTTAATTTTGTTACTGTTAATATTCAATTTTTGCAAAATAATTACCAGTATCTTCTCTGAAGCATAAATCATAAATTAAAACAAAAGAAAAGAGTGGGTCAAGCTTGAATTTTTTTTAATTAAACCACACTTGATCTATTTAAATATTTAACCAGATTTTTATATCCAAAGTGCATAATACATATGCAACAATAGGCTCTGAAGTGTGCTTAAGCAAGCACTATCTCTCAGCTCACTGTCTCTATTATTTTTATGGTGTTAACATTGGAAAAGGGTTATCATTTATTCTACCTTGAACTCTTAAAGTGAAAACAATATATGTCTAACAAGCAATAAGAAAAGTACCAAGCCACTTTCTTTTTATCTCTTCAAGATTGGCTCCTCTCTTCTTACGTACTCCAAATCAAATTCAAAATACAGAACGTGTGAGTGTGTGTGTGTGTGTGTGTGTGTGTACACACTACAATTATCTATACTTCACAGAATTGGTGGAGGAGGATAGAAAAAGCTATTACTTTAAAAAAATAGGTTAAAAGCAATTTGAGATGCAACACAATTTTGCTTTTTATAGACCTGGTTTTTCGCAACATTCAA